ATTCATTGCCTGGGCCTATGAGATCTTGTGACTGGAGGGTAGAAATTGGTTTGAGTTTAGGGTTTTAGGGTTGAGGGTTTTACTGCTTAGAGGCAGAGAAATCATTAATGACTGGTTCCCCATGGAGATACGTTTACAATTTTGAAGTTCACATTTCTTGTGCGGCGTTAGCACGTTGAAAACTATAGAGTGTAAAGAGCGGTGGTAGAACTGACCGTGCTGGAATATATCATTTTCCGAGGATTTCAGGGTGCGTGGCGTCATGCGGTATTTTCCGCATCAATTGTACGAGCAGTGTCTGTAAGTCACTTGTCGAACCCAGCCATTCCTCAAAGTGGGCCCCAGGCTACCTGATGCTTATAACTTGGAGGTCAAGGACTTAGTAAGTATACACCCTAAACCCAAGTATACACCCTAAACCCGAAACCTTAAAGCCTTAGCCCTGAGCCCTAAGCCATGCAGTAACCCATGTCTTCCCAATTGTTAATCTACTTGCTTATAGTCCCCGGACCTTCCAAGTCGTCCATACTTGGAGGTTCATGGGACATCGTAACTATTTATAACTGGGGTTATAACCCTACTTATAATTGCGGCAACTCCTCTAAGGCCATTTAGGGGTTTCCCATGAACCTTCAAGTAAAACCACATTCCCTCCATTCCCGGCTTACTTAGCACCATGGAGCAGCGTACTCGTCTTTTTAACTGCCTGGAGTTGATAGAGGAGACCATGCACTACCTTTGGGTTTAGGGTTTTGGGTTTAGGGAGAGCTTGGATGGTGCAAGCTTTCCACCGTAGCTTCCACTTCAAGCTTGAAAAAGCTGCCCACTGTCCAGAAATTAAATCCTAGGCCCTGAGACCCGGAACCCTAAATTCTCAAAAGCTTGTCGTGTCGTTTTCTCTAGGATACTTGTGCATCGGCTCAATGCATATCCCACTGTATGGGGTTTCTATTGGGATTCGGGACATTACCCAAATAATTCATGGAGAAGCACATGGAACATGAAATAGAAACTGGATTTATTTGGAGATTTTATATGTGGCGGGGTTCGAGCTAAAGGTCCTTGGGGGAAATCATGGAGAGATCCCGTGGAAAAGTCTAGGGAAAATACATTTTTCCATAATGGCCTTTTCGGGAACAGGAATGTTGACGAACTACCATATCTGAGGGGATGTTGGGAAGGAATGGAAAAGAGAATGGAATCCTAAACCCTATAAACTCTTGAAGGAATGGAAAGGAGGATGCAAATTACTACTAGGGATTCAGGCCCTAGGGCATGAAGGAATGAAAAAAACAATGGAAACCCCTAAACCCTGAATCTAGAGTTTGGGGCATGAAGGAATGGAAAAGAGAATGGACATCGCTGAGCCCTACACCCTAAACCCTAAATTCAGAGTTTAGGGTATGAAGAAATGGAATGGAAAAGAGAAAGGAAACCCCTAAACCCAACAGCCTAAACCTTAAATTTAGAGTTATGGCATGAAGAAATGGAAAAGAAAAGAGAATGGAAACTCTTCTAGTATTGGGGGTCATATAGGGGCTACTACAGAGAGCCAATCCTCCATTCCCTACTAACCACCAGGAAGTTAAGTACGTGAGACCTCCTAACAATGAAGTCTAGATTCCAGAATACAGAGAACTTTACGTACATCCGCAGGACAGGATCTTGAGAGTGAAGGCTCCTTGGTGTTTAGGATTTAGGACTCTGATGGGAACCCCATTGATGGGCTCGGGATGTTCCATGCGTTGCAGATTCAACTTGCACTCCAGTGCACAGAAACAGGAATCGTAGGCGCTAGGAAGATTTTCACAAGACGACAACGGCCTTGCGAGTTCATACATTCACTTGGCAACTCTGTAGGGTCCTGTGAGGGCAACTCTTCATTGCACTGTTCGCATCTCCCCCTAAACCCTAAAGCCGTCATCACACAGCTATTAGTATTGTCGAATGGTTTTCGATTATCGCAGCCGCGTTGCAGCACCTAAGGACCAAAGCCGCCAGCAAGGATGAACCCCCAAAAGGTTTAGGCTTCAGGATTTAGGGTAAGAGGCTCTACGGAGCCTACTGTCCTTCTGTAGTGGGGCCTGTGGGGTTCTAAGCTTGTAAGGCATAACCTAGACCCCGGGGAGGGTCTAAATCTAGATCCGCATAAGTACTCTCCCCAGGGAAATACCAAGCCCTGAGCCCTGAATTCCCCATAATATCCTATAGGCTACAGGGGATCCAACTTTGAAACCCGCGGCAGGTCCCGGCGCGGTTGAGCCTGAGCCGTTGCCATCGTAGCAGGGTAGGGTTTGGGGTAAAGCGGTAATCTCCGAAAAGGGGGCTCGGGGTCTCAAGAGCATTGCCTGGAGGGCTCCCAAAGTCGTGACGTGCATCCCTATGCTGGTAACTCCAACTAAGTTCTTTAACAGCAACCTCATCTCTGCAACGGCGCTGGATTGAAAAGCCACTGAAATCTGAAGTGCTCAGTGTCGAGCATGTATGTAGGCAGAGGAGTGTTGGTTTAGGGGTGCAGCTGTTAGGGTTGCTTTCAGGGTTTAGGGTTTAGGGTGTAGTGGTGTAGCTTGGCCGATGAATCTACCAGGGTATCCCCTTTTGGAAAAGGCTCCTTCTAGGCTTCACTGCAAGATCGGCATGATGAATGTCAGGATTGCTGAACTGAGTGTGGGAAGTGTCATCGGCGCGTTCTGGCGGCCTTCCCTTTTGGGGTCTAGCGTTAGCAAAGGATTTCCTAGAGGGTCCTTTAGATGGAGACAGGAAGCCTTATGGCCCCAGAAACGCCAAGCCCTAGCAGCAGATTTTCGGGCGAGAAGCACCCAAGTGCGGTTTCGGCACACACACATGAGCTGTAGTCGAATTAAGGGGGATACTAGGAGCCTGCACGATATTGTAAGCGCCTAAATAACTGCGCCTAGATAACTGGGTTGCTGTCAAAGAATCTAATTTAAGTTACTATATTGGAGAAGCCCTATTCAACACAATATATTTATATACCCATTATGGTAACTTAATCTAAGTTTCTTAACAGCAGCCCAGATGATTGCAAACATGTGTCTTGAGTTCTGCCCTGTTCTGAAAGTAGACAAGCGACCTGGGACCATGAGGTATTGGCACTCATTAAGGCTTGCTTCCACATTACCCTTTTCCATGTATGGCCTTGGGGATTACCATGGGCCCACCCCAAACCCTAAATCCCAAACCCCAAGCCCTAAACCCACCGATGCAGTCTCAAATCTCCAGATCATTCGGTATGACCGCGCTGCAGGCTCAGGTAGATGTCAGTTCTTTGCACCCCTCGCATGTCTGAGGTTTTCCAGGTAACTCTAGACCCTAAAGGCGCTCTACATTCCCCCAAACCTGAACCCTAAACCCTGAGCCCCCAAACCTAAGCCTCCCTAATAAACCAAGCACCCCCAAACCTAAACCTTGAACCCTGAGCCCCCAAACCTAAGCCTCAAACCCTAAGCCCCCAAACCTACACCTCCCTAAACCCTTAATCCCCAAACCTACACCCTAAACCCTAAACCCCCAGCCCCAAACCTAAACCTTCCTAAACCCTGGACCCCCCAAACCTAAACCTTGAATCCTAAGCCCCCAACCTAAACTTCCCTAAACCCTGTACCCCCAACCTAAACCCTAAACCCTGAATCCTAAGCCCCCAAACCTAAACCTCTCGGATAAGAAGTCCTAAGCTCCACTTTCTTCATTTGCATTCCATTCAGGTCTGGCCACATTAAAGGTGTATATAGGGAATAGTACCAAAATGACTTCAAATTGGGAGTTGAAACTATTCTAAATTACCCAGCTAGGTTGTTCCAGAGCTGTTTAGGGCTTAAGGTTGAAGCCCGAAACCTCCTGTGCACCTCCGAAAGTACGGGGGTTAGGGTTTAGGGCTTAGGGTTGAGGGTAGTATAGACCCAAGTCCATCCCAATCCTTAGCACAGGGACTCCTAAAAAGAGGGGCCCCAAGATTTTTGGAAACCTCCATGTATCGGTTGAACGACAAGATTCTCAGAGCTTGTCTCGTATCAGAGGCAGGCTTTCGGTTTAGGGTCTAGGGTTTCTGTTGTACTTGTAATGGATTCAGAAGGCCTGTGGTTTAGCAAGAAGCCTCATATAAGCTCTACATCACCCTAGCTCCCATGTACTTTTCCTTTCACCTCTCTCTCTCTCTCTCGTCCTCCCTCCCGTATATGGGGTAGCCCATGAACTTCGGGCCTTGGATCCCAGACGAATTTAATGTGACAAGTCTGATGAGCAAGCTACACCCTAAAGCCTATAGCCCCCCTTAAGTAGATAGAATATGGCTTGGGGTAGATTTTAATAAGATCCCCATATACCCCATATTCTATCTACTTAAGGGGCATTATAAACTCTAAGCCCCTGTTACATGAGCCGTACCTCGCCGCAAAGCTCAAGGCGTGCCAGCGGTTTGCATCTGTGCCCCTGCCAAGTACAGCATGTACCTGGTGTACCTGAATGCCTGCTAGTTTGGGCCCAACGTGCTTACATAGGAGGAACCCATTTGGCGTTAAACTATCTGATAGTTAGGTCCTTGGACCCCTATGGCATAGTTCACAACTAAGCGCATTCGCAGCGGTGACCCGAACTACGCATAGACACAGCTTGACCGTGAATCTTCGTATTCCCATCCAAAACTTTGGGCGCGACATGATGCACCCTTGTGCAAGCCCAGCTTGTCGGCCGTGACACGCCCTAATTACAGTAAATGAATATGATCGGTTCGGATTGGGCTTGCATCAACTTGCATGTTTAACAGCTTGATCAGGCCGGAGAGAGCTACTTGTTACCTCGAGAGTTCTTCTTCCTAAGATTCTTGCTTCATAGAGGCTCGACACAACTACGTGGTCTGCGACCAACGACCTCTCTTGGAGAAATAGCCTGCGCAAGAAGCCTCGTACTTCTGAGCTCAACCCAGAATTCGAAGACAAGCGCAAACAAGTTCATAGCTGGCCGCGGCATCGCGCGGGACAAGAATGGCGGACGAGGCTCACAGCCCTTAATCTTAGTCCTAGTGGTATTCTGTGGGTTAGGGTTTAGCCGCAAGGTCGAGTAGGGCTTGTGGATTCAGGGCTTCAAAGTTTCGAGTTCAGGGCAAAAAGCCGCAGTGGCTTTAAAATGCTTGCCGTGGCACAGCGATGATTTCAGTTCTTTATATCAGAGACTCTAAGTTTGTACCCTTAATGTTTGTAACCCTAGGCATTGGGTCCCAAATTCCTTTATTAAGGACCATATTCCATGTTTTAGGGACCCAAAACCCAAGGGTACAAACCCTGCGCGTACAAAGGAAAACTCCCTGATTAGAGACACCCCGGGTAACTAACCTCTTTGCACCGATTCAAGTAACATTCAGCTTTATATACACCCTCGACCGCCTAAGTAGTACTCCAGATTCGTCCCAATACAGTGTGGCCAGCACCAGCAGCATGGATATACATGTGTGTGTGTATATATATATAGAGATAGATATGCAAACACATTGTTGTCTCGTACTGTCGGCAAGGGAGTGCGAGCCTTTAAGAGAATTTTCTTTCTTATCCTCAAAGGTCCCAGTAGTTTGTCTCATCGAAGACGAACATGCCGCTGCAGGGCCACCCCTGTGAAACAGAAAGTTAACCCATGTCATCAAGGAGCACCTTTAACTCTAAACCCTAATCCTACATGTCAGCCTCAAACTCGTCGAATTCCGTTGTGGTGGCCATACCGTGGGAGGGTCTTGCAAACCATTCGCAAACACACGTGAAGAAGAGGCTTATGATTTATAGTCCCCCGTAAGTCGATAGAATATGGATTTGCACAGTATCACAATAGGATTCCTATATACCATATACTTGGGTTTCTTCTACTGGGACTTGAGCCTCGGATTTGGGAGCTTGAATGTTGGAGGAATGACCGCAGTAGTGAGTAAATGTTAACACCATCGCCCGGTCTCACCTTAAATGATGAAGAATGGAAAAGTAAGTGTACAGTACAGGGGTACATGGGGGCGAAGGAATGCAAAAGAACATGGAAACTACAAATTGTTTGGGAGGTTATGCAGGGATTGCTTCGAAAATCCATTCCTTCATTCCTGGCTATTGAGAGGTAAGCTTTGGTCTAGGGTAAGTAGACTGCGTTGGCACCCAGAATTAGCCACTCTTCTCCAGTTCGGGCACGTGCCCTTTTCTTAGCTTGAACTTAGCTCCCTATGAAAGAAATGATAGGAAACCGTACCATGATCCCAGACCCCCTAAAGGATCCAAAAAATGGAACCCCCCTCCAATATGAACCCATTACATTGGGGAAACTAGGGGATTATTAGGGGGGTCCAGTTTTTGGATCCTTTAGGGGGTCTGTGATGTACCCCATAGTCTTCACAGAGCCTGGCTTGGGGTTTGGGGTCCACCCGAGCGACGGGTGCATATCTCCAGGAGGATTCGTTGCAGTGGCACGTAAGGCTTCCACAGCCAGAACATGAAACGTGGGGTGGATCCCTCCGGTAGTCACCCAGCACCATGGTCCCTAACCAGGACCATGCTTAGTAAGAGCTGGATTGTTGGGACTGGTTTGATGCCTGAAGCACAAATGCTCCAGACCCTGGCTGTGTATTCAGCAAGTCACAAAACTCAGACTCAATGCAAGCTACCTGGCCAGCCATGGCTGACTGTGGACGTTGAATGAGTCTCGAGCACCTGAAGTCCTGTTTGAACCAGTTTTGATTACCGGAAATCCTGGAGACCTTGTAGCGCAAGACCTTTCGCCATCAGCTGAGTTCATTTTTTTTGTGACCGGTTCTCCCTCCGGCACCCGCAATGAAAACATCAGAAGATGCGTCAATTAACAAAGCTTACCATGGCTCATGCAACTTCGAGTGGAGTACGTACTAGAGTTTGTGCCTGTGAAGCCTGTTGGGGCTCAAAGCAGCATTTTTCATAATCGTCGCTGTTTGCATAACATCCTCAACAATACTCCTTGACTTAGGTTAGACCTTAGACCCTTAACCCTTTGGGATTCCCTTATATTGATATTATAGGTACCTAAGGGTTAACCCCTAGTAGGGGTCCTAAATGCCACACAGAATATTGGCAGCTTGGGAGAGTCGGTGCAGGACGTTGACCGCTTGGTGCAGGATTTTGCTGCCAAGGCACCTGCAGCGTAGAAACGCGGCCAAGCAATTTGAATGGAATGGGGGGCTTCGTTGTGCTACAGCTACACAGCGGCTACAAAGGGATGATCTTACTGATGACTCAGGCATGCAAACCATCAAACATTGAGGCTTCAACACCAGCATCTAACTCAGTAAAAGAAGACGTTGCATTGGATCTTTTGCTAGCACACGCTTTCAGACTGCCCATACATAAGCTTCTACGGGTTCCGGTCTGCAGTTGCTTTGGAGAGAATTTCTTGGGATCAGACATGGAGGTTTCTCAGCAACATTCGCTACATATTCCTGAAGTTTGATATATTCCTGAAGCTTGATATATCCATGGGGTCCGAAGGGTAATGCTCAACTGCCGTATGACTAATGCAGGGGGGCCTGAAAAGCTGCCAACATCATGGTCCTGGATTCCTTGATTTTTTTGGTATAGGACACTTCAAATAGACCTTAACAATGGTATCTATTCAGGCTTCTACATCCTAGCCGCATAGCTCAGTTATTAGGGGGAAAGTCCTTGAACTCAAAGTTCTAAGCCCTACATCCTAAACCTTATACTCGACATTACAGGTTTCTCATCTTCAGGCTATTTTTAGCTTGATGTCCGAAGGTCCGTGGCTGGTCATAGGGGTGCCTGCCTTTGCCCTTCAGAGGGTTACAGGGGGCATGTCGGGTTTGGAGATTAGGGTTTTGGGTTTATGGATCAAGGCTTAGGGTTTAGGATTTATAGGCTGTGGGGTGAAGGTTTAGGAGTTAGGGTTTAGGGGTTGGGGTGCAGGACTTCAGGTATAGGGACTAGGGTTTAGGATTTAGGGTGTTGGGATTAGGGATGTACTATTTCCCAAAGGATAATGAAATGAAAGCTGGGCTTACATTCGGGATTATTGGGGCTGTAGCCTACTTGCAGGGTCAAGGGAGCTGACATGAATCAGCATAAGGTTAGCATATGGCATGTAGGATTATAGGTACACTTACTGAGTCTTCCTGACCTTCCAAGTATGAGTAACGCTCTAGACTGGAGATACTATAATCCCTATTTTCTTTTCGGCTGTAGCATTTTTCAGAACAATCTAACCTTACTCGGTTCAGCCACTAAAAATCACCGCTCATATATTGCGTGAAATGACAGGATCTTCTGCAGAAGGATCCCAAGTGTCAAGCCAGTTTCTATGCATTATGGTATCTCGACGGTCTAGATCTCAGAAGGGGTCTTTCCAACCCTAAACCCTAAACCCTAAACCCGTTTACTTCCCCATGGCGCATGGTGTCAGCATTTATGTGTTGAATTATGCCTTGCCTTGGCAGTTTCATCCCCTGCCTACCTAGACCCTTGGGTTTAGGGCTTATAGGGTTTAGGGATTAAGGTTTAGGGTTCTGTTTAGGGCTTCGTCCAGGTTACGCTGCATGCGAGCAGCGCCCAGGACTCGGCACATCAGCAAGTCATTGCCTAAACCTCGAGGTCTAGGGATGTCTAGGGTTTACCGTTAAGGGTTTAGGGTTTAGGGATGAGGGTTTAGGGTTTTAGGGTTTAGGGTTTGGGGATCAGGTGCAAGATTTCCGCCATCCGCCCCATCTAACTGAGAGGGGCCATAATGCTGGAAACAGCCAACTTGCAACCAATGGAGATCTGCTTCCTTATTGGGATAGTGCTTGAAAATTTACAGCTTGATATTCCATATTGCATTTTGGTATAACACCTCTACCCTCAAAAAAGCATGGAAGCCGGTATCGTCCCGTTTCAACAGGACAGTCAAAGACGAAGCATTAAACCACCCTAAACAATAAACACTGATTAGCCTTCAAAGGCCCTTTTGGGCTTTCACATGTCTTTGAGGAAGGGTGCCGCTGCTGGCTTTGCTTTTGTATATTCCCCAATGATTGTAGCGTATTTTATTGCATTCCTTCATGCCCCATCAGCAACCAGCCAGCAAGGACATGGCTTGCAGGAATCATGCGCCTGAATGGTTACACCAACTCTAAAGGGAGTCTTCACCTGATTTCGCCGCGAGGCCTCCAGTCCATAATTTCATTACGCAGTACAGAAGATCCTGCACAACGTGCTAGTCCCGTTCATCTCGCAACGAAATCCTGAGGTACGTTGTTTTGCTTTGCGCCAGATGACTCGTTGTTTGGCAAGGACACGGACTCTGAGGCAGATGAGGACATGGCACCCAACGATGGTCCCATGATCGCAGGCTGGATGCAAGGGACGGCAGTGGCAACGCGCTGACAATGCTTCTGATGATTTGGTCGTTGTGGTTGTTGTGGTTCTGGTGCTGGTGCTGCTGCTGGTGCTTGTGCTGCTGCT